TTTTTTTTTTTTTTTTTTTTTTTGCGGTACACGGGCCTCTCACTGTTGTGGCCTCTCCCGTTGCGGAGCACAGGCTCCAGATGCGCAGCAGACACGCAGCCTCTCCGTGGCATGTGGGATCTTCCCGGACCGGGGCATGAACCCGTGTCCCCTGCATTGGCAGCCGGACTCTCAACCACTGCACCACCAGGGAAGCCCCAAGCCTTATTCTTCCTGGTGACCAGCCCCCATCCTGAAGCTACCCAGGGTCCCCAGCCACCAGCCATCTTATTAGCATACAAAAAGACACTCATCACTCCAGAGATAACAGGGATTTTAGGGATTATATGCCGGAACCAGAGACAAGGACCAAATACATATTTCTTATCATATCACACCATGCCCTGGAAAGAGAATAACTGAGAAAATGGATGACTCCAGTCAACAGGTTGCTTATATGGTAAAGCACATGACCAGTGATTCCTATAAATTGCATTTTAAGGCCTGAAAATGTCCCTGAAGCCTGCCTCTCGAGTGGCCGAGACTAAGCCTTTGCTAGGGCTGTGCCCATTGGATACAGCCTCACCGTATCCCCCTGGATGGTCTCAGCTCAGTGATGACCAGACAGAACTGCATCTGCTCTCTCATCCTCCACCGAGGCTGTGGGCAGAAGCAGGCGTTGGGTTTCAGATTGACACGGATCCCCAGGGCTCCTTCTGCTTGGTTGCTGGGGGCTGTTTGTGGGTTGCTGGCCTGTTTCCAAGAAGCCTGTCCTTCCCCCTAGGAGCAGCAACTCTGGGCAGCAGGGCATCTGGGTGTTTGAGATTGGGAGTCCGGCCACGGCCAGTGGCGTGGTGCCCTCGGACGTGAACCTGGGATTGGACGATGGAGCAGAGTATGATGATGAGGATTATGACTCGGTGACACCTCTGAGCCTGGAGGACACGGGCACCACATCCTTCCCCTATGAGGCCCGGAGAAGGGGAGACACTGGCACATACAACGTGCCCAGTGACCTGCCCCCCCGCCGCCTGGCTACTGAGAGACCCCCTGGACCTCCCACGGAGCGGACCAGATCTTTCCAGCTGCCAGTGGAGAGGTTTCCCCAGCAGCAACCACAGGTCATAGATGTGGATGAAGTTGAGGAAACAGGAGTTGGTAAGGTCATTTATGTTGCAGGTGGTACCTTCTTGGATACTTGGGTTTCCAGACAGGGGAGCATTGCTGGCGGGGTGTCAGCTGTGCGCATTATTTGGTGGTTTGTAAGTATGAGCGCCTGGGGAAGGAGGGGTGGAACTCACAGCTACAGAGCATTGGTCGATGGGCCCGAAGGCTTCAGAGACTCCAAGGGATCTGGCCATTAGGGCTGGGGTTATGGAAACTATAGAACATGTCCTCTTTCAAGTCTTCTATTATTCTTTCTTTCTTTTTTCTGTTTTAAAGAGAAAAGTGCTTTAGAATTATTTTGATAGTCAGATTTCCTTCCTTATTTGTGACTTCTGAGATCAGTAGTATATTCACCCACCTGAAAAAACATTTTAGAAGTTCTTTTGGCTATTGACACGGTTTATCTTTGAAATTTATTTCCTCTTGGTTTTGGAAGGAGGATGGTTGATGATTTTTCCTCCCGGGCCCTTTCAGTTTCAGAGTTAGTTTGTGAACATTTAAAACTACAAAATAAGTAGATCCCCTTTTTGAGGATGGTTTTAAAGTACAATATCTTCTAATCAACTGTATTATATCAGATTTTTGCTACATTTTCAGGGAAAACCACTGGAACCCCAGCATGCTTTGATTTGTCTTATAAAAAACATTTGAACTAGACTGTGTTCATTATTTTTTTGCCCTTCAGGTTGACCTATAATCCATTAAGATTCCTATCAAGGGGACGGTCCAGGCCTTTAAATGATGTTTACTGTGATGCCCGACTGCTTCAGCTATGAAGTTATCATAAGGCCCTCAAAACATCTACTCAGTTCCACATTATTCACCCATTTTTATTTCTCCTTACTTGTGATTTGTCTCGTAGCCATAGTCGGATGTTTGTTCTTATCGAGTATCCCAAAGCATGGACAGTATCTGGTGGCCGGGGTAGTGTGCTTACTTACCTCTGAGGCACAGAAACGGAGAAGCTGCCCTTAGTGACATGATGAGTACGTGGTTCATGTCTCAGGGCTCCCTTTATACACATGGCACCCCGGATTTGCTGGGGTAATGCTGACACCTAGCACGGCGCACTCAGCTCTTATAGCTGGGCCTCAGAGTGGTCGCCTCAAGATGGATTGCATATGTTTACCGGCACATATGTTTACCTTCAGGGTGAGTTTTGAGTCTCATCCTGCTTTCACCCCACATACATGTCTCTGAAATTCTCATTTGTGAAGCCATCACTTAAATGAGAGCATAGCTAGCCCCAGCAACTTATGGTAGTATATTCCTTGGTACTAGTAAAAAGAAAAGCCTAGATTTGAACCCCGACTGTGTTTAAAAGAGATGTTTTTCTGCCCTCGATCCTAGTTATTTCACTGTTTTTATTAGAAAGGTCAGTCTTCTGTAGCCAGCAGTGCATTCCTGGTGTGATTTGAATAGTCACCCACAGATACGTCGACCATAACAGACCCACTGGGAGCTGGGCTTAAGCAATCAGTAGCGTCACATGCGTTCAGCTCAGGGCCCAAGTATTTTCAGCTCCAAACGCCATCTTTATACATACAGGGAATTCCCTTCTGGGTATGTAGGACTCATGGAATCTACCTGGAATTAAACTTCACTTTTCTCTTCACTCATAACAGTCATTTATAAAGTGGGTCATTATCCCCTGTAAAAGTTCATCCCCTTTTGTGTTTTTGAACTTCATCCCAAATTAATTTGCTCTGGATTTTTGAGTTTAATGAGCTAGTTCATCATCCAATAAAATGAACCTGGGAGGGAGACATTTAAAATAGGGAGAAATTCTTCTTGTTTCTTGGGTCAAAGGCTTTTAGACCAGGTATGACTGAGGAATTATTTCTAACTAGCTTTTGACTCAAGAGCTTAGGATTTATCCCCCGGTGAGAAGAAAGGGTCAATTTTTTTTTTTTTTTTTTTTGCGTTACGCGGGCCTCTCATCGCTGTGGCCTCTCCCGTTGCGGAGCACAGGCTCCGGACGCGCAGGCTCAGTGGCCATGGCTCACGGGCCCAGCCGCTACGCAGCATGTGGGATCTTCCCGGACCGGGGCACAAACCCGTGTCCCCTGCATCGGCAGGCGGACTCTCAACCACTGCGCCACCAGGGAAGCCCAAGGGTGAAAATTTTTAAAAAATACTTTAAGCTTGTTAAAATGGCACTTTATGTTATAGATATTTTACCACAATAAAAGATAATTTTTAAAAATTTTAAGGTCCCTCCTGCCCAAAATGTGAAGCGGATCTGACGACATTAGATGGATGCCATATTAAGATTGACATTGGGTGGCAGTCACTTAATATTGATTCCGTGATACTGAGGACATTGGATTATAGCATTTTTAAAGAATTCACCCTTGTGATTTCTCAAACTTCCTTTAGACCCGTTTGCCTTGGTGGTTTGAATAATGGAACCACTATACTATTTAAGTGGCTACAGGTAGAGAGCCCTGGGTCTGAACTGCCTGAGCAGATGTCAAGTCTTGCACAGCTGAGGGCGTAGGGTCAGAAAGCCTCCTGGTCCAGAGCCCTGTGAAGCGCTTACAGGTGTGCTGTGTTCTCTCCAAGCAGTTTTCAGCTACAACACAGATTCCCGCCAGACGTGTGCCAACAACAGACACCAGTGCTCTGTGCACGCAGAGTGCAGGGACTTTGCCACCGGTTTCTGTTGCAGCTGTGTTTCCGGCTACACGGGGAACGGCCGGCAGTGTGTTGCAGAAGGTACTTTGCTTCTGTCTGTTCCCTTTGAAGGGGGAGAAAGGGGGAGGAGTGGAGTTTTTGTTTTGGTGCTTGTTTTGAAATCTACCCAGATCTCTAAACGGGGGTGGTATTTTCAGTCGGGCAATGATAGTTAATCTCTCATTCCCCGTTCTTGCCTGTATTTTTCTACTGGGGGTGTGGTCCTGGGGAGTGTCCTTTTTTTCTAATAAGGGTAGGTCTCTTTCTTTCCTGTGCTGTTTCTCCATCTCTGAAATGACGGCCATTGGGAGCCCATCTTCACAACTGTCCCTATAGCGTAAGACAAAGGCTGAAGTGTTGAAATTATGCAGCCTGGACCACGAATTGTCAGTGCCCCTCATTTTCCTCCGTTTCTTTCAAACCTTTTCTTTTGGCATCACTCAGACTATCCTAATGGTGGTTCAACTCCAGCAAGGCCACAGTGGGCTGGTGGAAACCAAAGTATGTAGCGGGTAAAGACCTGTCCTCATGCCCCTGGCATCCCAACATGGTGATAGAGGAGCATAACGGGTGCATCACAGCTAACTCTGGAGCCCAGACCCATTGTGGGCCCACTCCAAAATGGACTCAGCTGGCGTCAGTGGGCTGGCATCAGTTCTGAGCTCTGCTCCCGGAAAAGGACCAACCAGTCCTGACATTCTCAGATGGTCAGAAGAATCTTCTCTGCAAAAGTCTAGAGGGTCCGGATGAGAGTTTATTTAGAGAGGGAGACCTATGGGAACCTGAGGCCATAAACCAGAATTAAAACAAAACCCAAACCGACCATACTGAACATTTGTTCCTTCAGATGCCAAGTCACCTCACTTGTCACCTGTCATTTTCCTCATGTGTTTAATGAGGAACCTTAACTGCTACACACAATACAACTAAATAAAACTCAGTTGGAGGAATGCTTTTCTGTTTTTCAGATCCCCTGCCATAGCTAAAGTTAAATCAGTTATTTTAATTTGCTAAAATAAAAAAGTTCCCTCCTAGGTCACAGTTAGATAGTTAAATACTATCTGCAGCAACGAAAGAAAATTTTGTATACGTTGCATATTAATTTGGGGGGATGTTTTTAACGTTTATAAATGTGTTGTCTGTTTTCTTCCAAAGCCCACCACCCCAGGGATGGTGTACCTTTGCTGCTTTGTTTTAGGCTTGGCTTTTATATTTCTCTCACCCTGGGAGCAGCTTCCAAAATCTACAGTGAACCTTTCTTCTCAAAGAGCAATCTCATTAGCTCTTTCTGTGCCAAATATCAGACTGAAAATGCTGATAGGTTGCATTTGGCAGGAAGCTCAGATGTGACAGATTGCTCGGTTACGTTTTTTGACCTTCTGTACACGCCCTGTCATAGTTTTGTGGTTTAAATATTTTTTGGAGTCTTGCTACTTTTGAAATAGTTTTCTAGCTCCAAGTTTGGTGGAAAAAATTTGGTTTCCTACCCTTGGCTTTCCTGCTTGTTTCTAATTGTTTGGGGGAGGCATTTTTTGATATTAGTCTTCTAACTTCACAGCATCCCCCAGTGTAATGACATAGTTTATTTGCAGAAATACTCTGTGTCGAGTCTGCCTTGGCTTGTCAGTGAAGCTGTTTATTTTATTTATTTTATATTTTATTTTATTTTATTTTTGGGGGCCGCACCACACGGCATGCAGGGTCTTAGTTCCCTGGCCAGGGATGGAACCCATGCCCGCTGCAGTGGGAGCGTGGAGTCTTAACTTCTGGACCGCTAGGGAAGTCCCTCAGTGACCCTGTTTAGCAGCTAAGGCATATTGAACACAGCAGAAAGTCTTCGGAACACTGGTGACCATGCTCAGATGAGGGCTCGTTTGTCTCAGGTTATTCTACAAACTTAACTGAGAACTTACTGTGCACAGAAACCTCTGCTAAGACGGAGCCAGGGAGTTGGGTGTGAAAGTCTTGTCTCTAGACATTTATAATCTAGGAAGAGAAACACGATATGCACAATCAGTAAGTGATAGAATTTCTACATTAAACCCGAACAGTCCAAGGTGACTTACTTACCTCTTCCTTCAGTTTTTTTTTTTTTTTTTTTAAAGATATAAGTAACACACTCACTAAGTATACCGTTTGGTTCTTTTTAGTATATTAACTAAGTTGTGCAACTATTACCTCTAATTTTAGAGCATTTTCATCGCGCCAGAAGGAAACCCTGGATCTCTTAGCAGTCACCCTCAATTTATCCTCATTCCTAGTCTCTGTCAACAGCTAATCTACTGTCTGTCAACACGGGTTTTCCTGTTCTGGATATATCATATAAATGGAATCTTACAACATGGGACCTTTGTGTTTGGCTTCTTTCACTTAGCATGATGTTTTCAAGGTGCATCCATGTTTTAGCATGTATCAGGTACCTCATTCCTTTTTTCTAGTGAAATAATATCCATTTCATGGATATACCACATTCTGTTTATCCATTCATCAACTGATGGACATTTGGGTGCTTTCCCATTTTGGCTGTCATGAATAAGGCTGCTAAGAACATTCGTGTACAAGTTTTTGTGTGGACATATGTTTTCTGTTCTCTTGGTATATACCTAGGAGTTGGAATTGCTGGGTCATGTGGTAACCTTCAATTTTCTTATTCAAATACAAGAACAACTTAATTTCTTGAGAGCTTATCTTTTCCTGATTAAACAATAATAAATATATGCAAGTTATAAATATTTGAACATTATAGAGATATATAGTATAGAAAATGAAAGTTCACCATATCGCCCTGAGTTAGCCACTGGTAGCAGTTTTGTGTACATCTCTTCAGATATTTGTTCCTAAGTGTATGCCAACTTTTATTATTAATGTGATTTTCAAAAATGGTGTCCTATACATATCCTATTTAGCAATTTATGAAGAAAGCTTTTAAATATGCCATGGTAAGTTTCACATCTTTCCCAGTTAGCTAAATGGAGCAATCAACAACAGACACACCCCAGCCCACAAGCTGGTTCTGGGTCAGAGGGCGTATTTGTGTGGCTTGCGATATCCGCTGTGGCCACTTCTGTCTGGCTTGGCTTGAGTGAAGGTCCAGGACTCAGACTGGCAGTCCTATGTTTGAGTCGGAGATGCTCTTTAAGATGTGTTACAGATCAGGCAACCAAATGTCCCATCCAGTTTAGCCCTGCTGTCCCAGTGAAATGACTAATTCTGTCCCTGATACTCTCAAAAGTGAGACATTTATGTCACCTAGTTCTAGACCACCCATGATACTGTTCTATGAGATCGTTTTATTTGCCTCAGACGTTCCTCCATCCAACAATGGGTCTCACTTTTCTGCTGTCCATTATCCATCAGCGTGGGAGAGAGGAAGAAATTGGAATTTGTAAGGCTCATAGACACAGCCATAGGAACTGCCTTTTTGGGAAGAACAGTTGCTTTCACTTACCCCAAAGCCCTTTACCCCAGCACTGTTTGGCTCTTTGCTTTTATAGGTACAGATCCTACCAGACATACTATTCTATTCTGAAGCGCTGTCTGCTTTCTTTGTTTCTCACTCAGGTACCCCCCAGAGAGTTAACGGCAAGGTGAAAGGGAAGGTCTTTGTGGGGAACAGCCAAGTTCCCATTGTCTTTGAGAACACCGACCTCCACTCCTACGTGGTAATGAACCATGGGCGCTCCTACACAGCCATCAGCACCATTCCTGAGACCATCGGGTACTCTCTGCTTCCTCTGGCCCCTATTGGAGGCATCATTGGATGGATGTTTGCCGTGGAGCAAGATGGATTCAAGAATGGGTTTAGCATCACAGGTAACTCACATCAGACCTTAAAATTAATGGGCTGGGGTGAATGGAAAGGGAACTCCATGTCTGCAAGTAACTTACCGATAAGCATTTTGTGGCTCTGGAAATAAGGTGTTGAGGTAAAATTATCAAGAAGTTTTTCAATTAATATACATTAACTAAGACTGTCTAGAATTGCATTTTGATCAGGGAGCGATTTCAGGGTGGAGATTTAGATTTAGGCCGAGCAAATGATGTTTGCTCCTATATCCTCACAACCCAAAGTCTGGGGCTTCTTCTATTTATCCAGCCTGCCTCCAAATTCCCAACTAATCTGAAACTGATATTTGACATTTCCTCGGTATCTGCTTGGAGAAAAGGAACCTGTCATTTCTAGCTGGTAAAGTCAGCCTGATAAGCATAATCCTCACGAGTCTTAGGAAAGCTGAGTTTCCTTGGAGCTGCTTAGAGACCGTGTCCCGTCGGGGAAAGTTCAGTCTTTAGGGGACATGTGGGCAGATTGTTGGTGGGTGGGAGCAGAGGAGATGCTTCCCTGAAGCAGTGGTGGCCTCTCCCATGCTGTGCTGAGGCTGGCCCCCCTGTGCTGGAGGCCCTTTCCTGGAACTGCTTGGCTGGAGGAGTCTGCATCCTTCATCTCTGGCCGCTCCCAGGGCCTGGAGCCTGCTGTTCTGGGGCATAGGTACATAGCCGCTGCCTCTGACTACCTAGACCTGCCTTCTCCAACACCCCTAGCCTCACTGGAGCTTCAGCCACGGCTTTATTGTGAAAAAACTGCTGAGAGCAGGGTCTGTAGGCTTTGCATAGACACCCCTCCCAAAGTTACAGAGCATAAATACCTAACTTCCTGAAATGTGGACATTTTAAGAAAGGTGAGGATATATATTTGAAAAGGGTATAAAATACCTTATTTATGGCCCAATGTTTTTTCTCCCTCTGCCACAGGCATGTGTACCCTGAGTATCATAACGATGTTCAGGCTGTCTTGCAAACACATGCTCTTCCCTTTGCAGACGTAGTTGAGCTTTGCGGCCAGATCCACAGATCCTACTCCTTGGCTGCACAGCATTTCATATTGGTGTTGCCTTGAATATGGGTTGACTTAAATGGATGGTCCTTTGTAACTTACATCAACTTCAGGGAGGCGGAGGGAGTCTTTACAAATTCCCTACAGCAGCAAATCTTTGTTACTACAATGGTCCTTCTTAACTGCCCCTGTGTTATCAGTTGGATATCTGCCTGGGACCTGGGGGCTATAAAGCAGGAGTTGTCCAACATTTTCTGCAAAGGGCCATTTAGTAAATATTTTAAGCTTTGCCTAAATATTTTAGGCTATTCGGGCCCTGTTACAGCTACAGTAAGTCCCCTACATACGAACCTTCAAGTTGCGAACTTTCAAAGATGCGAACCTACGTTTGCATGTCCAGTCACTTAAGTTAGTTCACGTGTCTGGCGTACGTTGTCACGTGTGTGCATCCTCTACAAGTGGTTGTGCTTTTGTGTACTTTACTGTGCAGTACTGTATAGAGTACGGTAGTACAGTATCTTCATTTCAAGCCCAGGATGTCTGGAAGCAAGCGTAAAAGCAGTGGTGATGTAGCTGGTACTACTGTACTTTTAAAGGTACTGTACTGTAAGATTAAAAATGTTTTCTTTATTTTTGTGTTTGTTTGTTTTTTATGTATTATTTGTGTGAAAAGTATTGTAAACCTATTACAGTACAGTCCTAGATAGCCGATTGTGCTAGTTGGGTACCTAGGCTAACTTTGTTGGACTTACGCATGCGCTCTCGGAACAGAACTCATCCGTATGTAGGGGACTGTCTTCAACTTTGTCGTCGTCGTCGTCGTCGAGCGAAAGCACCAAAGATAATATGCAAATGAGTGATCATGTCTGTGTTGGAATGAAATTATTCATGGGCACTGAAGTGTAAATTTCATATACTTTTCACATATCATGAAATAGCTGCCAGCCGTGTTATCGGGAGTCTGCAAAGGTGGCAAAGGGAGGAAGCTGGAAGGAAGGGGGGGTATTTTTTCCTGCTTGTTGGGGGCTGCCTCCCTGCCCAGACCAAGGGGAGGTCCTGAGCCAGCACCTTAGTATGTGCTCCTAGGATGGTTTCTGGGCCTGGTGATAGTTTGCCCTGAACAACTGGCCCATCCTGACCAGGGCTTAGCTGTTACAGTAGTCATTCCCACAGCTGACGTCCTGGAGCGCTTGGTGTTTGGCAGAGGACGTTTTAACGTACTTATCTAATTTCCCTAAGACAGATTGTATCCCTTTTTCATCATCAGGAAATGGAGGCTCCGTGAGGTTAAGTAACTTGTTCAAGCTCACCCAACCAGTACCCAGCACAGCTGGGAGTCCAACTCCTGTCCCCTGCTTTTTCCAGCACAAGCCATGAGCCCACCCATCTCAGATGCTGGTTTGCAGCTGGCAGGCAGCTTCTGTTTCTTGCGCGTGACTCAGTTGGGCCATATGGATGTCCCAGTTCTGTCCTTGGTGTCAACAGCCCCATTTCTACTAACCACACTAAAGCATCTGCAGAGGAGGTGTGAGCCTGTCCCCACAGTGAGCCCAGGGTGGGCATGAGGGTGGCTTCCTTGACAGCAACGTGACAGACTGACCTTGCTTTGCAGGGGGCGAATTCACCCGCCAGGCTGAGGTGACCTTTGTGGGGCACCCGGACAAGTTGTTCATTAAGCAGCAGTTCAGCGGTATTGACGAGCACGGACACCTGACCATCGACACGGAGCTGGAGGGCCGAGTGCCGCAGATCACCTTTGGCTCCTCCGTGCACATCGAGCCCTACACGGAGCTCTACCACTACTCCCACCAGGGTGAGCTGCAGCGCCGCGTCCCGGGCCAGTGCTGCGTCCTGGGCCAGCGCCACCCACAGGCTCCAGCCCTGAGCTCATGCTATCTCCTGGCCTTCGGAGAGGGAAGTGCAGGGGGTACCTTATACAAATCACCTTTTCTCTAATAGATATCGTGCACACTCATTGGAGAGAATTAAGGGCAGAAAAGAAAATAAGCATAACTTACAGACTTAAAACCAGGACACAATTATTATTAGATTAAGTGTATTTCCTTTCAGCCTTTTCCTTCCATATAAAAAATATCCCGGGGCTTCCCTGGTGGCGCAGTGGTTGGGAGTCCGCCTGCCGATGCAGGGAGCGCGGGTTCGTGCCCCGGTCCGGGAGGATCCCACGTGCCGCGGAGCACCTGGGCCCGTGGGCCATGGCCGCCGGGCCTGCGTGTCCGGAGCCTGTGCTCCGCAGCGGGAGAGGCCACAGCGGTGAGAGGCCCGCATACCGCAAAAAAAAAAAAATATCCCAACATATGTATATATACCAACACAAATAATATCCCAACATAAAATCTCATCATATTATATAATTTCAAAATAATATAATTTTATTATAATATACATCTGTATGTACTTTTTAAGTTTCAAATTTACAGAAAAGTTGAAAATAGCAGTTTCCACATATCATTTACCCAGCCTCACCAGTTGTTAAGATTTTGCTACATTTATTTATCATTCTCTCTCGCATACATACATATATATATATGGGGTTTTTTTGGAGAGTAAGTTGTAGGCACCGTGATCCTTCATTCCCTAAATATTTCACCTGTTCTTCCTAAGGACAAGAACATCCTCTCACACGGTCCCAGTACACTCATCAAAATCAGGAAATTTAACATTGATGCAATACTCCTGCATACTCTACAGTCAAGTATATAGTTTCTAGTTACATAATTTCAGTCATACCACGTTATTGTATCTTCACTTTTCCGGTTAGCATCAAATTATGAATACTTGATAGTTGCATTAGATAGGCTTTGCAAACACTTTTTAATGAATCTCTACCATTCTATTGTATGGCTATCAATGTAAACCATTCTCTTTTCTAAAGCTTAGGTTATTTCCAATTTTTCCTTCTCATAATGAGTTGAAATAATCATCTTCATCATAAACCTTGACCACATTTCTGATTCTTTTCTGACCGAATTCCTAGAAATAGAAGTGCCGAGTCAAACAATGGAGACTCTTTAAAGGCTTTTATTAAATGGCCATCCAGAATGGTTGTACCAATTACCATGGCTCTGTGGCTTGCTCCGCCTCTCCTGGGGAAAACGAGTGGGTGAGTAGGAGGTGCAAGGAGCCGCAGCACCCCGGTCTGCAAGTCAGGCTACGACCAGATGGTGTTTCTGGCAGCCCGGCACATGGGAGCTGGACAGGAGGCAGCTTACACTAATCTTTTATGTATCCTCTGGCTTTGATTATGAACTACAACAGAGCACACAGATATAAAGAGTCTTTTATACTTTTTTTAAAATAGGAAGTTGAGATTTTCATTGTATGGGTGAAAAGCGAGCTGTCTTCTAAGTGGGGAAGACTTGCCCTTCTCTATTGAGATCTGCTCACAGCTCTTTAGTAATTTATAGAAATTGGCTACTGAAACCTATTAGTGTCCATTTTTATATATCAGAGAACCATTTAATCTAGGGTTATTTATAGCAGTCTCTATTTATTGAATCCTAAGTGAGATAACCCATAAAAAGCAGTTAGCACTCTGCTAGTCACGTGATAAATGCTCCATAAATGGTAGTGTGTCTTAATAAGAGTATTATTTAGCCTGCTTGATTCCAGAAATTTTACATACATTATCTCATCCTCACCCCAACCCATGTCAGAAAGGAAACAGAGGGTAAAGAAGTTAGTAACTGGTCTGTGATCACACACCTTGTGAGCGAAGGGTCAAGGTGTGAATTCAGATGTTTCTCCCTCCAAGTCCATGCTCTTTCCATCAGACCTTATACTCTGGGTTGGTTCTGGGTGACTTCGGAACTTATAGAGAAGCACTTGATGAGAAAAAGCAGTAACTATTTCTAATGCAAATAACATCAATAATAGTATGGGAAATCTAGGTGGCAGAATGAGTCCCAGTGCTCAAATAAATAGTTTATGTATCCTGTTCCGTCCGATCTCTCATCTGGTAGCAGTATAGGTAGAGGATACTGCTGATGGTTTTAGAGCCCTTGACTAAGCCTCTTGTATCCTCAAGATCTCTCCTTTGTGTCCCTGCCTTGTCTCCCTGCTTCCCTCCCGCATCCAGTGATCACATCATCCTCCACCCGGGAGTACACAGTGATGGAACCCGAGCGGGATGGCACTGCCCCTTCTCACGTCCACACTTACCAGTGGCGCCAGACCATCACCTTCCAGGAGTGCGTCCACGACGGCTCCCGGCCGGCCCTGCCCAGCACCCAGCAGCTCTCAGTGGACAGCGTGTTTGTCCTGTACAACCAGGAGGAGAGGATCTTGCGCTATGCTCTGAGCAACTCTCTCGGTCCTGTGAGGGGTAAGAGGTGGCAGCTCAGACTGGGCGTTGTGTGTGTGTGTCTGCCTGCACGGCTCTCTCGGTGCTTTTGACATGTTGTTTTTTGTCTCTTACTCTCAGTAAGAAGAAGAAAGTTATGCTGAAATAGCTCCTGACAGAAATAAATGTCTCATCATTTATGATTCTTAGAAAACCTACCCGTCTCTGTTCTGCTAACCTAAGGCCTCCTCATTATTCCATTTGGGGTAGAGAAGAATGATAATCCTTGAGTTACCTTAGAGAGTAGACCATCCAAGGGCTGCAGCTGCCTATGGCTGGGCATTTATTTTTATTTTATTTTTTATTCTTTTCCATTATGATTTATTGAAGGTTATTGACTATAGTTCCCTGTGCTATATACAACAGGACTTTGTTCTTTATCCATTCTATATATAACAGTTTGCATCTTCTAACCCCAAACTCCCAATCCATCCCTGTCCTTCCCCCACACCCTTGGCGACCACAAGTCTGTTCTCTATGTCTGTGAGTCTATTTCTGTTTCCTAGATAAGTTCATTTGTTGTTGTTTCCATGTCATAGGTTGTTTCCATGTCTTGGCCATTGTGAATAGTGCTGCTAGGGGTGCATGTATCTTTTTGAATTGTCTGGATATATGCTCAGGAGTGGGATTGCTGGACCATATAGTGGTTCTATTTTTAGTTTTTTGAGGAACCTCCATACTGTTCTGCATCAATTTACCTTCCCACCAACAGTGTATGAAGGTTCCCTTTTCTCCACACCCTGTCCAGCATTTATTGTTTGTGGATATTTTGATCATGGCCATTCTGACTGGTGTGAGGTGATACCTCATTGTAGTTTTGATTTGCATTTCTCTAATGATTAGTGATGTTGAGCATCTTTTCATGTGCCTATTGATGGCCAGGCATTTAAAACACTCTGATACTCACTGTGTGCTCAAGGCCTGGGGAAATCCAAATCAAATCTGCTAAAAGTCAGGCACGGAGCCTACAACGAGCTTTCTGCCCGGGGATGGCACATTGCGAGAGGTGGGGGGTCTAGTCTGGGGGTGCTTCTGGCTGCGTGGAAGGAGCTGCAGCTAGTGAGACAGCCCAGTGTCAGGTCTCACATCATCCAAATCTTTAAGCCCTAGGGGTTCTGTATATTTGGGGTCTACGTGTGAAGGTCTTTCTCTTTTTCAGTTATTTTTGATTCTCCCTCTGTACCCAGGTCACTTCTCCAGCTAGTCGGGTTTGTCCTCAGCTCCATAAAGCAGAAGGAGGGCAGGTGTCTGTCTCCTTCCTTTGACAGCTGTAGCTCCAGGCATCAGGGGTTGGCGTAATTTTTCTTAAAAGGCCAGACAGTATCAATAAATATTTCAGGGTTTGCCAGCCGTGCAGTCTCTCTCAGTTCTGTGACTGTAGCACAAAAGTAGCCAAGGACCGTATGCAAGTGAATGGGTGTGGCTGGTTTCCAGTAAAACTTTATTTACAAAAAACAGACAAATGTCCAAAGGGATGTAGTTTGCTGATCACGTGACCCCCCAGGTGGCTCAGGAGTCGGCGGGTTTTCTGGCCATCAGTCCTGCCAGAAAGCAATTCTGGAGATTTTGGAGGAATAAGAGTTTCTGAATCCTCACTGGGTTTCAATGTCTCTGCCTTCACAGACGGCTCCCCTGATGCCCTTCAGAATCCTTGCTACATCGGCACTCATGGGTGTGACAGCAATGCAGCCTGTCGCCCCGGCCTCGGGACCCAGTTCACCTGCGAGTGTTCCATCGGCTTCCGGGGAGACGGACAGACCTGCTACGGTACAGCCGTCCACTCTGACTTGGTGGTGGTGGGCAGTGGGGTGGGGGGCTGCAGAAACAGATCCTGCACAGCAGAGGGGCGAGGAAGAGGCAGCACCGGTGAGATAAACACTGATGGTCACGCTGAGTTGTTGAAGCCCCGTGCTCAGTGTTCCCTCGGTGATGTTAGGGGTCCTGGCCCTTCCTTCATCTGGTCAGATGCCCTGACTCTAAGCAACAGAGTAGAATTTATAAGGCCACACTCCACTTCCCGTCGAGAATACATGGGCTTAAAGGAGGGGAAAGTCAGCGCTGTTTATAACACACATAATATGACTACAACTGCGACGTACCCAGGCATTGTTGTGTTAGGTGCTTCATAAACACTAACTGATTTAATTCAACAACTCTAATGAGATAGATTCTTTCATTTCTGTCTTTTAAAAATTATTTTTAATTGTGGTAAAATGCACATAATATAAAATTGATCATTCTAACTATTTTTAAGTGTACAGTTCAGTAGCATTAAGTACATTTACATTGTTGTGTGGCCATCACCACCATCCATCTCCAGAACTCTTTTCATTTGCAAAACTGAAACTCTATTCCCATTAAATAACAACTTCCCATCCCTCCTCTCTACCGCCAGCCCCTGGCAGCCACCATTCTATAACACTTTCTACAAATCTGATGATTCTAGGTAACTCATGTAGGTGGAATCATACAGTATTTGTCCTTTGCTGTATCTGGCTTATTTCACTTAGCATAGTGGCCCCAAGGTTCATCCATGTTGTTGCCTGGGTCAGAATTTTCCTTCTTTTGAAGGCTACAAAATATTCCATTGTATACACATACTCCTTTTTCTTTTTAATCCATTCATTTGTCTATAGGCACTTGGGTTGCTTCAATTCTTTTTCTGTTGTGAATTATGCTGCTGTGAACATGGGGTACAAATATCTGTTTGAGACCCTGCTTTCAACTCTTTTGGGGATATACCCAGAAGAGGAATTGCTGGGTCACATCAATTTTGTGTGTGATTTTTTCGAAGAACCGTCATATCGTCTTCCCCAGCAGCTGCACCATTTTATATCCCATCACCAGTGCACAAGGGCTGCAGTTTCTCCGCATTCTTGCCAACACTTGTTTTGTTTTTTGGATAGCGGCCATCCTAATGGCTGGGAGGTCTATTCCTGTTTTTACAGATGAGCCGGGGACATTGGAACGTTGGACCTTGAGTCTCTGACTCAAGTGCATATATTATCCTGTCTTCATTGTACTTATTTTATTACTTATAATTTCACTTTAAATACTTTCATGTAGACGGCTTGATATTTATGTTTGTTACTAAATTTTAATCCATTGCCAAAAGGCGGTTAGTTGACTCCTGACTCAATGAAGAGTCCATACAGCAGAGGCAACTAGGCTAGGAATGTCAGAGCTTCCTAAACCTGCCACAGAGGCTCACCAGCAAACGTAAGGAGTGCTAGAAGTAAGCTTCCCTAGTGAAATGGGTGGTGTGCACATGTCTTTTTGGCCAGAATGATGAGCAGCCCCCTTGAATGACTGGGGCATAAGAATCTGGGGAGCCCAGCAGCCTTGGAATTTGGGAACGATGCCTTGGGTCCGTAATCCATTGAATTGAATCCATTGGATGCCTCCAATGAATGGCAGCTTTAGTGTGCTGATTTCACGTGAAGGTTAGCAGATCCTGCTGCTGGGATATTGCTGCATTTACTTCAGAGTGAAATTTATGTGAGGTGCTCATTGGAACGTCTGAAAGGATGGAGAGCAGGGACTGGGCTTACAGGAACAGCTTGTACAACTGTTTAGCCAGCTTGCTGATGACTTTGTCCGTGTGGTAGAATTCAATCTGAGACTCGCTTCCCTTGTAACATACCACTGGGCAGGGGACATAGTTCCTACTCACCTCTGATCGTCAGAGTTCCCCTGGTGTTTTCCCAAAGAGCCCAACAGTCTTGAATGGCTAAATTGGCTCAGGCCACTTTGAAACTGTGATACTGTGTGTGTGTGAGCAGAGACCTCCCAGGCCATGGTGATGGGTGATGGACACCACGAAGGGATGAGGTGCCCCCATTTCTCCAGCAGAAGCCTATACCTCCTTAGTCTTTATGTATCTCTGCTTCAGCTTCATAAGCCAACTGAATACAGTAAGTCCCCTACATACAAGCCTTCAAGTTGCGAACCTTCAAAGCTGCAAATGTGCATTCTCATGTCCAGTCATGTAAGTTAGTTCATGTGTCTGGTGTACATTGTCACGTGCGTGCATCCTCTGTAAGTGGTTGTGCTTTTGTGTACTTTACTGTACAGTACTGTATAGAGTACAGTAGTACAGTATCTTTATTTCAAGCCCAGATGTCTGGAAGCATGCGCGTAAAATCAGCGGTATATAGATGCTTGTGGTAGTTGGGTACCTAGGCTAAGTTTGTTGGACTTACGAACAAATTGGACTTACAAACGCACTCTCGGAATGGAACTCATTCGTATGTAGGGGAATTACTGTATTAGTAAAACATGGAGCTACCCCAACCTGCTGACCCATAACCTCTGGCTAATTCTGCTTTTGGTGCCTGAGCTTGTGGTGGGACTGCTTGCTTCATTTCCCCAAGGCACAACCAGCCATGCTTTATGGATGGAATCTGTTGCTATTGTGGAAACCTCTCCGATGTGTTGGCCCAGGAAGACAGGTGTTTGTGCGCACTTGCTTTTGCCCTGGCAGATTTGCACCACGGAATGTGGGTATATTCCTAGTCAGGCTACTTTCTGTTCTGGGTCACGAGAATAAGTCTCGTAGTGTTAATGCATTGAGACACTGGGCTGTTGATAGGAAATTGCATTAAGCAGATCACTTCACATATTATTTTGACCTGGAAAGTGCCTCTGAAGAGAATGAGGGTGAGCCTTTGTCATTCAGTGTGTGTAGCGTTGATATAATGATAGATGACATTCAAAATAAGGCTGGGCTTGATTAGACACTGCAGAGTGACCCTGCAAGCTAAGTTGGAGATTTCCAGTTGAATCACAAGAGCTCTGGTGCCTGACAGAATGGCTTCCCTATATTTCTCAGTTGGGAGGCTGTAAGAGAGGGTTTTGCACAGTCTCTCATTAAGTGTGCACGAGGCATTTAACAAATAAATCCTGAGACTCTTCTCCAATAAGAGCCTGGTGTTTATGAAAAGGACACATTTTAGAGAAACTTAGAGTTGTTGAAAAGTAGCCACTCTGAAAAAAAGTCAAAAAGGAAGCAGTGATTACAAGAATAATCCAGGATTTTCCTGTTGGGTTAGGGAATGATTAATGTGAAAGGAAACCTCTTCCCAGTGAAGACGTTGACCAGATCATGACTAATAAGAACAATAATCTTCAAGCAGATATTGTAATTTTTTATAAGGAACAGTTATCACTAGTTCACTGTTTCTACTAAAGAATGGATTAGAGTCCTAGCCTCCAATTACAGAAGGGAGCGTTTAAATTAGGCATTAGGAAGAATTTCCAAACTGTAAGGACCATGAAATAATAGCCGGGAAATGGCTAGGGTTTTGCTCTAAAAGAAAAGGAGTCGCCCAGCTTGGATTTTATGTGTAGGCCTGCATGGAGGTGAGGGTAGTGCTAGGGGACCATCCCCTCCCTCATCCTACGGGCCCCCAGGTCCTGTTTGCCGTGGTTCTCCAGGTAGGGTGTGCAGGATGAGCATCCTTCCAATCACCTAAGAAGCTTTCTTGAAACACGCAGTTTCCCTTTCCATAAACCTTCTAGGGGTGGAATGAAGCTTGGAAAATTTCCCCTGGTGATTGTGTTCTGTCCCTTTGATTGAAAACTGCTGCTCTGTGCTCTTGTGCTTTGGCAGTTGAACCTCAGCCGTGGATCCCTGCAGTTTGCACAGCGTGTCCAGACATCTGGACTGTAGTGTCCTCTGAGAGCTGTAGTGCAGACACAGTGAAGCAGAATGATCTTTTTCTCCCATGTTGTTGAAGCAGCAGCTGGTGGATGGAGCTGGAAAGTCCACACTTGCTGAATATCCCTCCACCCCCATCCCAGCTCCAGCTCGTTAAGAGGCTGCCTTGGGAGGGGCTTTGTTCTGTAACCTTCCAGCTGTGCCTGGAGCCATCCTCTGGTCTGAGATCTTGTAGCTTTTTTTTTTTTTTTAATTGCAGTATAGTTGATTTACAGTGTTGTGTTAAGTTCTGCTGTACAGCAAAGTGACTCAGTTATACCCATATATACGTTCTTTTTTTATATTCTTTTTCATTATGGTTTATCGTAGGATACTGAATATAGTTCCCTGTGCTATACAGTAGGACCTTGTTGTTTATCTGTTCTAAACGTAATAGTTTGCATCCACTAACCCCAAACTCCCAGTCCACCCCTCTCCCTCCCCCCTCCCCCCTCCCCCTTGGCAACCACAAGTCTGTTCTCTATGTCTGTGAGTCTGTTTCTGTTTTGTAGATAGGTTCATTTGTGCCAAATTTTAGATCCCACATATAAGTGATATGAGATCTTGTATCTTTTATTTATTTATTTATTTATTTATTTATTTATTTATTGGCTGTGTTGGTTCTTCCTTGCTGTGTGTGGACTTTTCTCTTGTTGTAGCGAGCAGGGTCTACTCTTTGTTGTGGTGCGTGGGCTTCTCACCATGGTGGCTTCTCTTGTTGCAGAGCACGGACTCTAGGCACACAAGCTTCAGTAGTTGCGGCACGTGGGCTCAGTAGTTGTGGCTCACGGGCTTTGTTGCTCCGTGGCATGTGGGATCTTCCCGGACCAGGGCTCGAACCCGTGTCCCCTGCATTGGCAGGCGGATTCTTAACCACTGTGCCACCAAGGAAGCCCCGAGATCTTGTATCTTAAACACGTCACAGAAATTTATATTGCAGTGTAGTTTCAAAAGTTGAATGCCATTTGGTTTGGGTTTTTTTCTGAGTATAGGTCCAGCTACGGGGCTGAAGTGGCAAAAATGCCTGTCTTGTGCAATGTAGTCCAAAAAGCCAGCAGGGCTTTTGCCTCACTGGCTTTTTGCCAGTGAAGAGACTGGCTGGACTGGCCATCAGAGGTGGAGCATGAGGAAGATTCACATGATGGAGTTGAGGAGGGGCAGCTGAGAATGGGAGGGGGTTGTGTGGTCTCAGCCACTATGAAATCTTCCTCACACTCATCTCCAAGAGTTCTAAAAATGCCAAAAGTACCTGTGCCCTCTGAGAGTGAGGTCGGCACAGAAGGACCTTGTGTGACCGTATTTATTTCAATCCATCAGTGGAAAGGTGACCCAGGTGATGACAGAGTAGCTTGATTTCTTACCTGGGCCAACCAGCCTTCCTGTAGTGGTAGCCACAGACTGGCCCCCAGTGCCAGTGGCCACCTGAGGGCTATGTTCCTAGAATCGGAACACCCCTGTGGCTGGTAGTGTAGGATAATAATAATAGGTACATTTCTTTTTTTTTTTTTAATTTCTTTTTATTTTTTGGCCACACCCCGCGGCATGCAGGAGCTTAGTTCCCCAACCAGGGATCAAACCCGTACCCCCTGAATTGGGAGCACGGAGTCTTAACCACCGGATGGCCCGGGAAGTCCCAAATACGTACATTTCTCGAGCAGGCTAGGCTTACATCCATTTTCTGTAATCTTCAGTAGAACCCCTCAAGATGAATAGTAGCGTGAGTACTCACCAATGGGGAAACTGAGGCAGAGTAGTGAGGCAACTTACCTGGGACCACACAAGCTGGTAAGGAAAGGAGGCAGGATTTGAACCTAGCTGTGTCCAGCTCCAGAGCATACGTTCCTTTGTTCCAGTCACCCCATGCAATGGCCACAGTATTGTCCTGTGGGAGAGCATCACTCACAATCTTATGAGTTAATGGTTTTCCTGTTAGTGCATTAAGCTCAGGATAACATTCCAAGACTTACAATTAGGCTTTAAACGGTCCCACTTTCCTTTGTCACTATCGTTGGAGAAAGGAAATATTTTTGAACAAGAGCATATTTAATTATATTTCGTAGTTTAGGAACGTTGTTCATAGTCTGGAGACTTGTCTGCACGTCTTTCTAACATGTATTTGCCCATCTGATGTTAGTGGGCGCCAGGCTCGGCAACTAACTCCAAAAGGCAGGGCAGGTTGGGCGGGGAGTGGGGAGTACACATTTATTTAGGAGGAGGGCCTTGGGATCACTCAAATTATGCACAGAAAAAAAGATTTCTTTAACATCATTTTTGGAATGTAAAAAGGTGTGTTTTAAAGTGGATCCATTTGCATGCCAAAATGCTTTCTATTTTATTATGTTTAGTGGTGTTTGAAGAGGTGTTTTTTTTTTTAAGAGTCTGCATTCAAACAAAAATTTAGGAGGAATTCCCTGACAGTCCAGTGGTTAAGACTTGGCGCTTACACTGCAGGGTGCCTGGGTTCGATCCCTGGTCAGGGAACTAAGATCCCTCAAGCTGAGCGGCGAGGCCAAAAATAAATAAATCAATAAATAAGTCTTAAAAACATTTTTTTTGCTGTAGATATTGACGAATGTTCAGAGCAGCCCTCGGTGTGTGGGAGCCATGCAATCTGCAATAACCACCCAGGAACCTTCCGATGCGAGTGTGTGGAGGGTTACCGGTTTTCAGAGGAGGGAACGTGTGTGGGTAAGTTCTGTGGGTGACTTTTTAAAACGAGTAATTCAGATGACGTATGTCAGCACCTGTGTGAATGGTATTGCCCCAGGTAGTTGTCCTGGCTGAGATGGAAGGTTCCCTGTACTGTTGGGGAGGACAGTTTACAAAGGTGAATCAAACTTCATTCCTTCCCTCCGACTGCCTGGAGAGTCACAGGTACAAGGAATAAGCAGTGTTGTCTGTCTACACTGGTAATACCCTTCCCTTCTTATAAAATTCCTTTTAATTCTTTCCATTATTCTTTGAATAGCTATTCAAACAGTTAGACATGTTTCTCCTTATAATTAGCGGCCTTGGGATTCACGCGGAGGGAACACCTAGGTGTTTGTGTCATTACCTGCCTTAGATTGAATTCTTCCTGATTGACGTCTAAAACTCCATTTGGAGCCTTTCTATTTGCGGATTTCCATTGTACAAGCCACAAGTACTAGCATAACTTCATAGCCTTTCAAAGTTAGAAGCTAAGCCTATTCATTAGGCTAATTATGCTTTAGGTTTTTGATGACTTTGGTGATGATGGTGGTGGGCCAACTCCAAAGAGCCAGATTGTTTAAATTTCCCCACTTTTGGGCTTCCCTGGTGGCGCAGTGGTTGAGAGTCCGCCTGCCGATGCAGGGGATACGGGTTCGTGCCCCGGTCTGGGAGGATCCCACATGCTGTGGAGCGGCTGGGCCCGTGAGCCATGGCCGCTGGGCCTGCTCGTCCGGAGCCTGTGCTCCACAGTGGGAGAGGCCACAACAGTGAGAGGCCCACATACCGCAAAAAAAAAAAAAAAAAAAAAAAAAAAAAAAAAAAAATTTCCCCACTTTTTCCGACCGCTGCACTTTGACCTGTTACTTCCAAGAATTTCAAGTTCAAAGATTCTTGGAGATTTCCAGGTCTGGAGGGCAGCATGCTAAAGGAGCCGTCTGAACTCAACATTTCTTCCCAATTTAAAACAGATTCCTCTTTTACTGCATCAGTGAACCATCTCCTTGTCCTTTCCTCGCTGCTTACTAAACCCTAGCATGCTTTCTGTTTGCTCTGTCTTGAAATTCAGATGAGGCCGCCAAGGTCCCAGGGTGAGATGGTGTCTTGAGGGCGGAGGGAACAGGCCGTTCTCATATTTTGAGTATGACCCAAACATCTGTGAACTGAGAGACAGCCAGTCCCCTTTGCACAGAGCTGAGATTTCAGCTCTGCTAAAGTTACTTCTGTCTTTTTTTTTTTTTTTCCATAGAGAACAAGAATTTCTGTGAATTTGGCCTGACTTCCTTCTCTGCTTTTTGAGACGAAGGAGATTCAAAGGTCTATTTTTTGTGGCAACACCATTTGCATTATATTTCGGCTCAAGCTTTGGTGGTGGATCCTTTACCCCTTGGGTGGTGACGTGGACAGTCCTGGGGCAGACGTGTGTGAGGCATGTTGTGCCCTCAGTTTCTGTCTCTCCTGGGATCCACCCTCACGGAAGCGCTAGGGTGGGGTGCAAGACAGGTGGTGGGCAAACGTCTACCCCATGGCATTTGATTTTGAGGAAGACAACCTCTCTGAGCCTCAGTTCCTCACCTGTAAAATGAGGTGATTAGACTGCATCATGGGCTTCCTGTGTCCAATGGAGCCCTTGGAGATGCCCCAGGATCTGCCAGTGGGGATACAAGGACTATTTCATTTTCCTGTATATCAATTTCTGAGTAAGATTTTGTTTGAATAATGGATTCCCCCTTCTCAGAAGCAAGTGTGAAAACCACCTGAAGATCATTAAGTTCCACCAAGACCTGGCATCGAGGTTTCCTGATTCTCCCCCTGCCTGTGGCCCCCTGTGCAGTTCCATCCCGCTTGGCTTTTTGCCTCTTGTAATTGGCTCCTTTGAGACTCACCTCATAGAGAGATGGCTCACTGGGTGAAACCAAGTCTGCCTGAATGCATTCACACAAAGAGTCTGGCTCCTCACTGGATAATTTACTGGTCAGTTTCACTCTCCCCGAATTCCTTGTTAAAGCTATGTCCTGGGTTGAAGCCCAGGCTGGGACCGATGTCTGTCAGGTCAGAACAGGGAAGGGTGAGGAAAGAATCTGGATGGTTTAGGAGGCCGGCTCTATGTCCTGACAACTGTGAGGGGCTGGGCGCTCATGCAGGGTGTGTGGATGGCCACAGGTGACTGTCTTTCCATGAGGATGGGTATCCATTAGGGGAGGGGCTGCTTTGTGGATTTCCATGTTTGTCATTTTCTGCAAGCCTGTGACTTTCTCTTTTCCACTGGGTGCAAACTTTTAGTTAATTGGAATGTGCAAAGTATGCTGACACAAAGGAAAAGAGCCTCAGCTGGCCTGCAAATCACCTTTATGTGTAGATACAGTTGCCCCCTGTGATACGTGGCCTGTATGGAGAATGGGCAGGTTGGGACCCCGAGTTGTACAGTGCACGGCACCATGCACCTGCCCATCGGTCAGGGGGAACAGGGCTGGGCTTAGGCTAAAGGCTCAGCCTGGCTCACCCAGCGTTCCTGTTCTCCCTCCCTCTCCTGTCATGTTGTTAGGAAAAATTATTGTGAATCATTCATCTTTGTGATCTTTTTCTCAGAACTTAAAGTAACTAGAGGCTGTGAAACCACTCCCCGCCCTTTTCTCTCCTTGTAACACGTGGCTTCTTTCCCTCGTTTTGTCCTTCCTTCTTGGCATCACCTCCCTTCTCCGCGTTGTCTCATTTCCTGGCCCCAACCAGCCTTGCAGGTGTCTCTCGGGGACCAATGTCACATTGGGTGGCAGCATCTCAGGGCAGTTCCTCGGCTCTGCCCATGCCAGGTCACAGTTCAGGGTTCTTTTCAGAAATGCAGGAGCTAGAAAAGTAAAACCCCAACTGAACATGTAATTGTAATTAATTTTTTTTAATTAATTTTTATTGGAGTATAGTTGCTTTACAATGTGTTAGTTTTTGCTGTACAGCAAAGTGAATCAGCTATACGTATACATATATCCCCTCTTTTTTGGATTTCCTTCCCATTTAGGAGGTCACCACAGAGCACTGAGTAGAATTCCCTGTGCTATACAGTAGGTTTTCACTAGCTATCCATTTTATACATAGTAGTGTATATGTGTCAATCCCAATCTCCCAATTCATCCCACCACCTCACCTTGTAATTAATTTTTTAAAAATTCTTATTAGTCATCCATTTTATATATATTAGTGTATACATGTCAATCCAGTCTCCCAATTCATCCCACCACCACCTCCACCCCACCCCCCGCCACTTTCTCCCCTTGGTGTCCATACGTTTGTTCTCTACATCTGTGTCTCAATTTCTGCCCAGCAAACCGGTTCATCAGTACCATTTTTCTAGGTTCCACATATATGCGTTAATATAAGTTATTTGTTTTTCTCTTTCTGACTTACTTCACTCTGTATGACAGTCTCTAGATCCATCCACGTCTCTACAAATGACCCAATTTCGTTCCTTTTTGTGGCTGAGTAATATTCCATTGTATACATGTGCCACATCTTCTTTATCCTTTCATCTGTTGATGGGCACTTAGGTTGCTTCCATGACCTGGCTATTGTAAATAGTGCTGCAGTGAACATTGTGGTTCATGTCTCTTTTTGAATTATGGTTTTCTCTGGGTATATGCCCAGCGGGATTGCTGGGTCATGTGGGAATTCTATTTTTAGTTTTTTAAGGAACCTCCATATTGGTTTTAAATCCCATTTTGAGCCTGATTTTCTGTCCTTTCCAAAACTTTCCCCTCCCTCCCACCCTGTACCCCCTGCTAGTTGACAGGCAGGGTGAGAATTGTAGGAAATTGCCAGCCTGCGGGGTTAGGAGCCTTTGATGGGAGCACAGCTGGATGTGCTGGTGGCCCCTCTTGTGTAAATTAGTGAAAAGATCTCCTTTGTGTTGTATATTTTGCTTAAAAATATACACTGCCAAATGTAAAATAGATAGCTAGTGGGAAGCAGCTGCATAGTACAGGGAGATCAGCTTGGTGCTTTGTGTCCACCTAGAGGGGTGGGATAGGGAGGGTGGGAGGGAGATGCAAGAGGGAGGGGATATGGGGATATATGTATACGTATAGCTGATTCACTTTGTTATACAGCAGAAACTAACATACCATTGTAAAGCAATTATACTCCAATAGAGATGTTAAAAAAAATAAAGAACGAAAAAGAAAAAAAATGCTTTGTATACTTTGAAAATGAAAAAGGTAGAACTAAATTGTTTGGAGTTGTAAAGTTCTTAAGCTTCCTTCAGAAGAAAATTGCTCTGGCATGAAAAATGGTCTTACATAAAGGAAAACGTGATTTAAAAAATTAAATTATAGGGGCTTCCCTGCTGGCGCACTGGTTAATAATGTGCCTGCCAATGCAGGGGACATGGGTTAGAGCCCTGGTCCAGGAAGATCCCACATGCCACAGAGCAACTAAGCCGGTGCACCCCAACCACTAAGCCTGCGCTCTAGAGCCTGCGAACCACAGCTACTGCAGCCCGCGCACCTAGAGCCCGTGCTCCACAACAAGAGAAGACACCACAATGAGAAGCCCGCACACCGCAACGAAGAGTAACCCCTGCTTACCTCAACTAGAGAAAGCCTAGGGAAAGCAATGAAGACCCAACGCAGCCAAAAATAAATAAATTAATAAATTTAAAAAAATTAAATTACAAACTGCCTTTTTCTAGAAAGGGTTTGAGGATTATAGGAGCATAGGTGTGGGAATTCCCTGGCGGTCCAGTGGTTAGGACTCTGCACTTTCACTGCCATGGGCCCTGGGTTCAATTCCTGGTCGGGGAACTGAGATCCTGTAAGCCAAGCGGCTTGGCCAAAAAAAAAAAAAAAAAAAAAAAAAAAGGGGAGGGGTGCTGTCACTGTCGAGGGCCTGGGTTCGATTCCCTGGTCAGGGAACTAAAATCCCACAAGCTGTGCGGTGTGGCCAAAAAAAAAAAAAAAAAAGAAGCAAAGGTGAAGGTGATGGCAGGGCAGGGGACATTAGGACCTACCCATGTTGCAGCAAGGTCCTCCCCAGTTACCAAGGGTGGGGCACAATGAGGCTGGAGCGAACACAATGTGTAAAATGATCACTTACGCACTCTAATGACATGAATATTTGATGGAAGAGAAGTGAGACTCCTTTCCTGGTTGTTCTGTCTGGGTATATTTCCCCTACATTTTTTTTGGTCCCAATTCTCCAAGAGTGTCCCTTTCACACTTTGCGAGCTGAAGGAGTTGGGGGAAAGAGGACCCTGGAGAGAAGAATGTTAGAAACGATGAAAAGTGAGAGAAGACAGGAGTGGCCCAAGGAAACAGTGTGTCCTTGGTTTGGTTCAGTGTAATCTGGGCTACTGTTTTCTAGCAAGAAATTTGGACCACTTGTAGCAATTTAAAATCCAGTAACCCTTTGGCCCACAGACTTGGTTCCATGGTCCCTGTCTCATGGGAGTTAGTTAACAGTCCAACTTCAGGAGTCTAAACTGCTGAGTCCACAGGCTGGGCCTCCATCCACCAATACGGTACTTTGCTAACCTCTCATGGGCGCAGACCTTTGAAGAGGACCCTCTTCTTTACCTGTCCCCTGACAGTGCTTGGAGCTCTCTCTGCCGAAGCACTTGAGGCAGGATGAACTGGAATTAATCTTGGGAAGACTCACTGAGGATAAGGTTGAGGAGTCCTCCTGTATCCAGGATAATCTAAACCCTGAGGGCCTCCTTGCAGGAAGAAAGTGTTCTGTTCTGACATTGCGAGGGCCAGGACTCTGACCTGGGCCTTAGAGCTTTAAGACCAGAAGTTAAAGTGCCTTACAAACCCCAGAGTATCTGAACCAGCTGTTGGAAATCACCCCCTAGACCTTAGTCCTTGACTTTCATCTTGAGGCAACAGCACAAGATGGGGTATGATTTTCTAGCCTCTATGTCACATGCCTACTTCCTACAACCTCATTCTCTGAGTCTTGTCATCAGGACCCTTTAGAAAATAATAGTCCCATCTATTGGGCCTCCCCATACTTGGCAAGCTGGAAGTCATTCCTATTCTACAGAGGAAGAAACTGTGGCTCCGAGAAGTTATATGATTTACCCAAAGCCATATGGTGGACTCATGCACCTAGTAGAAACCCAGGGCTGCCCACCCCAGAGGCCCACAGTCATTCTACCATCCCTGTCTCACTTCCCTGGGAAAGTTTATTTCACCTTCCTTGGTGGGACGTGGGTGGCTTTGGCATTCGTAATGAATATTCCACCCGCCCAGTGAGCCGAGGGCAAAGATACCGTGGAAGTCTCAGCTCCTCAGCTCCAAACGATCCACCAATAGAGGTGCCACGGGAAGCGTGTCTACCTGCAGATTCCACCTCCACATCCAGATGAAGGGAAAGTTGGGTTTCGGGGACCAGGTGTGGAGAGTGGCCTGAGACAGAGCCCTGGGGCGAAGCTGAGGTGGGGAGCCAGGCCGGTTGACCCCCTGCAGGGGCAGGCTGCGAAGACTTCTCAGAGGTGGGATCCAGGTGGGAGGAAACAGGAGAGCCAGGGGTACCATCCAGCGGGGAGCAGGGGTGAACCTGAAGAGATGTCTGGAGGTCTGGGGTCCAGACATGGTCCACCTCAGTGGACTACACTGCTTGGAAGGGCCCTGGGACTGCTCAGGGGACTCTTCCAAACATTGCGTGTCAACCTTTTGTCTGAAGCTGTCGTGGACCAGCGCCCCATCAACTACTGTGAGACTGGCCTTCATGACTGTGACATCTCTCAGCGGGCCCAGTGCATCTATTTGGGAGGCTCCTCCTACACCTGCTCCTGTCTGCCAGGCTTCTCTGGGGATGGCAGAGCCTGCCAAGGTACGTGGTCACTCTGACTTTCCTCCCTGTGTAACCTGAAAAAATTCCCTGGGTGATACTTATCATATACTAATTACTGACTCAACTCCAAATTCAAGAGAATTCTTCTTGGGCTTCCCTGGTGGCGCTGTGGTTAAGAATCCGCCTGCCAATGCAGGGGACATGGGTTCGATCCCTGGTCCGGGAAGATCCCACATGCCGTGGAGCAGCTAAGCCCATGCACCACAACTATTGAGCCTGTGCTCTAGAGCCCGTGAGCCACAACTACTGAGCCCGTGCACCTAGAGCCCATGCACCGCAATGAAGAGTAGCCCCCGCTCGCCACAACTAGAGAAAGCCCGTGCTCAGCAACGAAGACCCAACGCAGCCAAAAATAAATAATTAAATTAAATTAAAAAAAAAAAAAGAATTCTTCTCTCAACTCTGTTGAGTAGATGGGCTGTGTTTTGTATCTCTAGTAATTTGAATTATGTGTTTTCTTTGGGGGGCTGTTCTCACTGGGGAAGACACTTGTCCTTCCTGTACCATTTTGTTCCATGTCACTTGCTCGTTCAGGCAATAATTAAACACCTCTGTCTGCTAGGGACTGAGGAGATTGTCTTTCATGAAAAGACAAACAATCCTTACACACATGGAGCTTAAAGTCCAGCCTTTTATTTAATAAGATACATACAGTCATTCACCTGGCCTGCTCTAATCTTGTGTTCCAAAAAAAGTGAAGTCCCCTTTTTGAATAAATGACTTCAGATGCAGAGAATAAATGGTTCCACAAAATTCAGACCTCAGATCAGTCCATTGTTGGCAGCCAGGGTGCTCTTAGAGATAATTTTAAGTGAAATAACTCTGAACACCGTTCCCTGGTCCCCTGGTTTGCAAAATTGCTTAACATTATACCATGGAGTATTTCTGGAAAGTCCAAGCTTCTCTAAGAGATTATAATTTCTGAAATACTTTCTCTTTGTTACTGAACATGTGAATTTTCTCTGGTCTTTGAGATTTTTCTGTCAAGCAGTTAATCATCTGTCTCCAAACTCAGACATTTTTGAAGCTCTCTTTTATGATGAGAAGGAAATAATGAAAAAAAATCCTCTCGTTTTTCCTTTTGCATGCTTGATTTTTCATGAAAACATCAAAGTGAAACACATTTATAAATACACTAGATAGAAATTGAGGAGTTAGTGTTTTGATAATTAATGTTTGGTGAGTTCTTAAATCACTGTTCCCAGATTAGAAACTGAGTCCCCAAAAGTTGAGCAAGTAGCTTATATTATTCTGTAAACTAGGAATTCTAGAAAGAATCTCACTATCCCCGGGCTTGGTGGTTGTCTTGCAGATGTGGATGAATGCCAGCTAAGCCGATGTCACCCTGATGCCGTCTGCTACAACACTCCAGGGTCCTTCACGTGCCAGTGCAAACCTGGTTATCAGGGAGACGGCTTCCATTGCATGCCTGGAGGTAAGGTGTCGGGGACGTTTGGAGTTGGTGGGTCATTGCCTTGTCCAGGAGTACTGAGTACATGGCCCTGGGAGAGAAGGCGAGGTGGGGACATGGGAGGCTCCGTGGAGAGTTGAGGTGGGCGATCAGAGCACAGCTGCGGTTTTGAGCGTGAGGGTTGCACACTGCACAACTCCGGGGGCCCCACACCTGGACCAGAACTGTGCTGGCAGCCTGGAGGCTGGTCATCCCTGTGACTTGAGCAATACAGGGTAAGAACTGATCTGTATTAGGGTTCTGCAGAGAAACAGAACTAATGGATATGTGTGTGTGTGTGTGTGTGTGTGTATAGCGAGAGAGAGAGAAATATATTTATTTATATATAAAGAGATTTATCAGAAGGAATTGTCCCACACAACTATAGACGTTAGCAAGTCCCAGGGGTTGTAGTTGGCAAGCTGGAGACCTAGGAATAGCCAGTGTCTGAATCCAAAGGCAGGAAAAAGCTCATGTTCCATTCATAGGTCATCAGGAAGGGAGAATTCCTTCTTACTCGGGGAAGGGTCCACCTTTGTGTTCAATTCTGGCCCTCCACTGATTGGATGAGGCCCACCCACCTACAGAGTGAAAGGTTAATCTCAGCCAGAAACACCCTCAGAGAAACACCCAGAATAATATTTGACCAAATATCTGGGCACCCTGTGGCCCAGTCAAGTTGACACCTAAAATTAACCATCACAGATTCCTAAGAGTCACGGGGAATGGTGCTGGGGTTCGGGTGGAGGAGGTGAAGGGCCACCAGTTGTGGGAAGAGGCAGGCTGAGGACTCTGCAGAATTGGGCGTACCACCTGTTACACCTGGACTGTGCAGCTTCGAAAGTTGAGACTTTTGTGGTATCTCATTAGATCATGAGGATAATGATAGCCCTAGTTCAGTACCTGGAATGATCCTGGAACTTAGGAGGCACTCAACAAATGCTGTTGAATGAATATGTATAATTAGCTGCCATTTGCATGAAGCCTACTGTGTGCTGGGTGCTTTACCTACACTATTTCATGTAATGTTCATAATCATCTCTTTAAAGTAAGTACTATTAGTATTTCCATTTACATAGAGGATGCTAAAATGCAGAGATAAAAGCACAACCTAGGTCCCAGGGGTAGTAAGTCCTAGAACTAAGTCTCAAACCCAGGTCTGCCCGATGGACTCCAACCTGGATTCAGTTCCTGAAATCACATGGTATCCTGTCATGAGATTAAGGATGTATCTGACGCCTCCGACTGCAGTTAGCCAGTTGAGTTGTTACTTATTTTAATTGCTGCTGCTGTTGTTGGCAAAATATATTTATGCCACTGTCAATGTTTCAATAAGGGATACATGGAAATTTCCATTTCATCACTTTTTTGAGCAATTACAAGCTATTTCAATGTCTGCCTCCCTTCACTAGCCTTGAGTGCCTTGAGCATAGGGTGCCTGTGCACTTTATTTTCATGTCCCCAGTATCCTGTGGAGTACGTGGCCTATGTTGGGGCTCATAGCTCTTTATAGTTGTTGAGGAAATAAATGAATGCACCTCTCCTACTGGCAGTGTATAATAGTATTGATAATTATTTATTCGCACTCTCAACAGGACTGAGTGTGACCAGTTTTTAGGATAATTGACCATCTAAAAAGAGAAGAATATCAGATTAAAGTTTAAATTTCGATATACAATACTACATATTGCTGGTCTAAATTGTTTTCTTCTGCTTAGGACAGGACTCAACAAACTATGACTTGCAGGTCAAATCTGGTCCACTGCCTGTTTTTGTAAATAAAGTTTTATTGGAGCACTCATACTCTAGTTTATGAATAGCCTATGGCTGCTTTCATTCTGCAAAGACAGAGGTCAGTAGTTGTGGTAGAGACTGTAAAACCTGAAATACTTACTACCTGGCCCTTGACAGAAAAAGTTTGCTGATCCCCAGCCTAGGTGAACCCAGGCAGGATCAACCTTTTGTTCCTGAAATCATGCGTAAAAGACACGGCTCTCCCCACAGATTCTGATAGGCAGGTTACATAGCGTAAAGTTCATGATCATTTGAGTTAAGACATTCCAGCAGCTATTAAAAATGACGAAGGCATTATCTCCTTAGGCTTCCTTCACATCTCCAGTTCAAAAGGAAGCAGATGTTTCATTTTTTATTTTTGTTCTTTTAACCCGACACCTGGCCCCGTTTTCGAGGCTCTACTGAGTAAACAGAAACAAATCCAGACCTATAGTCTGGGATACAAAAATGAGAGAAGGATAAAACCAATCAGAGTTCTTTGCTAGGATTTATTTAGGTATTTAATCCTGTTTTCTTAAGAAATTCAACATCTATTTATATGCTCGAGAGAGAATGTACACTGGAAATATATGTGTCCATCGAGTATTGTTCATAACAGAAAAAAAAGTCTTAAGTGACTACCAGCAGGAGGAATGGACAAATGAGTCTGGGTACAATTCATACCATGAAATAATATACAGGAGTTAAAATGAGTGAACTAGAGGGAATCGCCTAGTGGTCCATGGTTAGGACTCCGTGCTTTCACTGCCAAGGGCCCTGGTTGAATCCCTGGTCGCGGAACTAAGATTATGCGAGCCGTGAGGTGCAGCAAATAAATAAATGAATGAATGAACACATTAAATAATAAATAAGTAAATAAATAAATCTGAGTGAACTAGAGTTAATGGATAAATCTCCACAGCATGTTGGGCATAAAAAAGTCATAAAAGGGCTTCCCTGGTGGCGCAGTGGTTGAGAGTCCGCCTGCCGATGCAGGGGACACGGGTTCGTGCCCCGGTCTGGGAAGATCCCACATGCCGCGGAGCGGCTGGGCCCGTGAGCCATGGCCGCTGAGCCTGCGCGTCCGGAGCCTGTGCTCCGCAACGGGAGAGGCGACGACAGGGGGAGGCCCCGCGCCCCCAAAAAAAAAAAAAAAAGTCATAAAAGACTCTCACTTTCTGAGATGGCTCACGCTCTGTCTACGGAGTGTGTCTCTCTCTCAATAAATTTACTTCTTACATATTAAAAAAAATAGTCATAAAAGGATATATGCAGTATGATCCCATTTATATGAAATATAAGCCTCTGTGAGAAGAAACCTGAATATGTATAAACATATACAATAAAACTATAAAATGCATGCATGGGAATGAGAAACAAAAGCTTCAGGATAAAGGTTACTTCTATGGTAGGAGAGGGAATTGGGGTTGGGAAGGGCTGCACAAGGGCTGCATTTGTATTTCTAATGTTTTTTTTTTTTTTTTCCCAGCTGGAATATGAACACTGAGGTTTTCATCATATTTTTCTAAATTTTGTGTGACTAAATAGTTAATGAAATATTAATGAAAGATTAAGTATAGTGTTATCTGGACTCCTATTACCAAGCATAATGAAGTGTAGGGATTAGACATTGAGCAGTTTTGGGTACCTACTCTATACAGAGGGGCTAGTTTAAAAAAATAAAAAACTAAACTAGCTTTAGGGGTGAGTCAGTTAAGGTCAATGGCTACTGCAGTATCAGCCAATGATAAACAAAACAAAAAAAAATGATGATTTGTTCCCCACTGTCCTTCTGCACTCTTTGCCCAAAATGCATGTGTGGATTGTGAAATCAGCTCAGTGGGGCACTATTACCATTTTCTTTTAAATGGAATGGAACGAAAAAGAAAACAATAATCGAGAAAATAGAGTATGCCGACTATATGCAGTAGGAATAAGTGTTGTTTCATGAAATAATAGTTGTGGATGCTTGTCTAGTGCATGGCTGAGTGTGTGCATGTGTGTGTATGTGTAAGCATGAATGTGTGTCCTGAGTTGCAGAGTGGAAAGCATTTCTATGGATTGTGGTCAGGAAGTCTGAAAGCTGCCATGTTAGTTATCTATTTCTGTGTAACAAATTATCCCCCAGAGTTAGCAGCTTAAAGCAGTAAATGTGTATTATCTCACAGTTTCTGTGGGGCAGGGATTCAGGAGCTTAGCTGGGTGATCTGGGTTCAAGGTCTCTCAAGAGGTTGTTGTCAAGACCTTAGCCGGGCTACCATCTTCTCTGAGATTCATCTGGGGCTGAAGGATCCCTATGGTGGTTGGCAGCCCTTATGGGCTGCTGGATGGAGGACCTCAGTTCCTCATAGCACAGGTCTCCCCACGGAGCTGCCTAAGTGTGTTCAAGACCTGGCAGCTGGCTCCCTCCAGAGCAAGCAAGGAAGGGGAGTGTGCCCAACATGAAAGCCACAGTCTTTTTCAAAAAAAATTTTTTAAAGGTATTTTTCTTTTTTTCTTTTTTTGCATTTTTTAATTGAAGTATAGTTAATTTACAATGTTGTGTTAGTTTCAAGTGTAGAGCAAAGTGACTCAGTTATATATATGTATATGTATATATATATATTTTTTCAGATTCTTTCCTATTATAGGTTATTACAAGTTACTGAATATATTTCCCAGTGCTATACAGTAGGTCCTTATTGTTTCCCTATTTTATATATAGTGGTGTGTATCTGTTAATCCCAAACTCCTAATTTATCCCTCCCCCACCCCTTTCCCCTTTGGTAACCATAAATTTGTTTTCTATGTCTGTTTTGTAAATAAGTTCATTTGTATCTTTTTTTTTTAGATTCCACATATAAGTGATATATGTTTGTCTTTGTCTGACTTATTTCACTTAGTATGATAATCTCTAGGTCCATCCATGTTGCCACAAATGGCATGATTTCATTCTTTTTTTATGGAAGCCACAGTCTTTTGTAACCTAACCTTGGAAATGACAATGCTGTCACTTCTGCTGATACTATTAGTCACAGGCCAACCCTCCTACAGTGTGAAAGGGAGCTACCTAAGTGTGGGAATATGAGGAGGTGACAGGTCTGGGGGAATGGAACTGGGTAGAGGTTTGGCATATAGGAGAGCTTATTAGAGGATGAAAGAGGAGTATGAAGAATCCTGGGCTAGAGATGTAAAGCCCGAGTTTTTTTTTTGTTTGTTTTTGTTTTTTTTTG